TACGTAATATTTCGCAGGACTATTTGAACGATAAGGTTTACAAAGACTTTGAAACAGTTTACGAGTCGAGAGTACCATGATAATGAACCGGAAATAGTAATCAGGTACATATCAATGTGTGGTTCTACAAGTTCATTTCAGAAAAAAAAAGTTCATGTGATGTTTTGAAATCAACGAAACAACAGAATAAAATGTTTATGTATGCACCAGGACATCCAAAGCCAAATTTTTAAAAAGTTATGCAGATATTATAGCCTTGGGATAATGGAGCAAATCGTGAAGCACACGTGAGTCAAGGTTTTGAAATCTTTCTACAATTCTGTTTTCCTTTAGAAACCATTTAAAACAAAAGACAAAAAAGGAAAAACGAAAAAGGTTCTGAACTAAAATATGAAACAAATTCCTCACAAATTGAACGAATAGAGAACGGAGGAGAGAAAGAGAGAAAAATACACGAAAATACATCCCGGCATAAAAATCTAGAATCCGCCACTGCTCTCAGGCCGGCAACCCAAAATACGGAAAATAATCCTCGAAAAAAAAAGATGACAGAAAGAACGTAGGTTTGATTGACAGAGATGGCGTAATCTAGGGATTAATGTGGAGCGTGGAGATTGCAACACTCCGGCCCTTCCCCCTTCCCCCTCCCCCATCACCACCACCCTCGAAGTCGATAGTGGCTGCCAGTGGTCATGTAACCCTTTTTAACTAGAAGATTTAGCATGACGTAGATTTGCAGACTTGTCCGTTAAATGCAAAATACTTCCATGAGATGTGTAACCTGTATGGGAAATCATTATATATAATCTTCAAATTATGCTGTTATGTCATAAGCAGATGGTTGTTCAGGAGAGACTGTAAAAGAAAAAAAAAGAGTAAAACAACAAAACAACAACAAAAATAACACCAAACAACAACAACAACAATACACCAACAACAACAGCAACACCACCACAAGTAACAACAAACAACAGCAACAACAAAACTCTCGTGTGCAAGGCCTCGCGGGGAAGGGAAAAAAAGTGACGTCTCTTGCACAACAGAAAGAGTCTACTGAACCGAGATACGTGGTCCTACGAGTATCAATTTCCATATATA